TATATATATATATATATAATTATGTATATGTATGTATAATTTTGTATATATAATTAAAAAGATTTGTTGTTGTAACTCGATTTTGGGTCAAATGTGGACAACCCCGACAGTTTAAAACGAGTCATTTAAATTAAATGGTTTGTCCATTTTTGGGTTACTGCAACCCAGCATATTCTAGAATGAAGCAACTAGGCTATGTTTGGATTTACTTCCAAGCTGCATTCATATCTAGATGACGTAATAAATAAATATTTGACGTGTTATCATTGAACGCTGCTGCGGTCCGGAAGCACGAGGACCTTCAGGCCTTGTTTGTGTTGATGATTTATTTATTTATTTATTTAATGCACGTGCTGTACTACTAAATATTCTAGAATTAGCCTCATTTGACATTACTAGCATGCATGCATATCATTGCACTTGTGTATGTGTAAATAACAAGATAATTTAAACGCACATTTAATTGTTGCATCATTACTTCTTGCGCAATTAGTTGCATATTGCATTTCTAGCATGCATATAGTATATTATAAAATAACAAGTAAAACTAAATGCATCACAAAAACCCTCGAATTGGTGAGTTTTGTTCTCGGAAAATCAGCATTGGTGTTGCGCGACTACAAAAGGACGCGTTCGCATGCGTACAGAAATATTTCAATACTTTATTTCTTTGTTCTGAACTCAAGTTCAGGCAGTTTATATACAAGACAAACTAGATGACAAACAAATGCAGAACATTAAATGACTAGCAAAACAAAAGGTGCAGCATAGCTAATCACATGGTGGTCAAAAGGGAAATAAACAATTGTAGAAATCACATTTCTGATAAACACCCGTGTGTTCGCACAGAGAGCTGAAATAATGGTTCAGATTGTCATGTGGCAAATCAGAATGGAGAGATGTTATGTTTGAGAATGATCTGTCTTTGGTGATGAACCATCTTCACGGGTAAAACTGTATTTAAATACTGCGGTGTGTGTAAATATCATCAGCTGCACTTCACAGAACAGTATTTAAAGAGACAGTACACACATTTATAAACTCATCCCACAAACAGAGCTCATTTAAACCAGTGCTGTTTGCTTCAGTAGCTTGGCTTCACTGTAATAGATCATCCTCTATGAACACAGGCCCACACTCTCGGGCGAAGACATTGCATATAGATTTATATTTAGGTTTACACAGCTATTAATAACATGACCAGTGTTTGATTGTCAGAACGCACACCTGAGTCAGACCGAACGCTCAACCCTGATTTAAGATATTAAGGCGCATTCACAGTTTGGGACATTAAATCTTAAATAATAATAATATTAAAAAAGGAATTAGTCTTACTAAACGAATAATATGTGCTATCCATCTAATAATAATAACAGCAGTATCCCACAATAACAAAGGGATAATAAAAATAAGAACAGTCAACATTTTTAGAATAAATACAAAAGAATCATTCGCGATGAAATACTAATAAATAAGACTTTTTTTAAAAAGAAAAACAAACACGGTTATTGCCTTTGGCATAACTTCGTACTACCATTACAAAAACGAGCTTAAATAGACAAAATTAAATTAAATTCACAGAGTCCGCACACACACAAAAAAAAAAGGTTTCCCGGCGAGGTTTTCTAGGAAAGTCTGGATATTCCCATTGGAGAGGAGGACGCGTAGCGCTCAGCTCAGGAATGAATTGGGCGCGACGCGTTTGTGCTGAGACAGGAGTCCGCCGGAAAGCGGTGATGTGAAGGACGGCAAACTAGTTCTTAGAGAATCCGACAGCAGCGGCGACTGAGAGCTGGAGATGCCGTAACCTGGCGCGCTCGGGAGCGACTGCGGCTGCTGCGCGCCCGGTACAAAGTATCCATTGTGCCCTGAGAGTAATCCAGCAGCCGGCGGAGACACTCCGTAACCGTTCGACAGGTTGATACTCCCGCTAGAAGCTCCCAGAATTTGGCGAGACATATCCCCGTTCCCGAGCGGCTCCACGCCGGGTAGTAAAGTTCCGTACGTGTGTCCTTGGTTTAGAAATCCGTGCGCGGAGCCGTTGTAATGCGAGTGGTGCAGTGGTAAAAACGGAGACAGCTGCCAGTACAACGGGTTGCTCGGGCGCTCGCCCAGACCGAGTCCGAGCGGTGCGAAGCGGAGGCCGCGTTTCATCACCAGCTTCCCCCGCGAGGTCGCGGAGCGGCGGCGGAGCTTCCCGGTGGTTCCGCCGATAAACACGTCATCGCTGGAAGGGTCCAGCATCCAGTAGTTCCCTTTCCCAGGATCGTCGTAATGCCGCGGAACCTTCACAAAACACTTATTCAAGCTTAAATTGTGCCGGATGGAGTTCTGCCAGCCCTGTTTGTGTTCCCGGTAATACGGGAAGTTTTTCATGATAAACTCGTAGATGCCGTTGAGCGTGAGCCGCTTCTCGGGGCTCTGTCTGATTGCCATCATGATGAGCGCGTTATAGCTGAACGGAGGCTTGTCGAATTTCTTTCCCTTTTTGGTCTGCAGTTCGGGCTCCTCCGCGTCGCGTTGCGCATTGTCCATCTCTGCGTCTTCCGGGGGTTTGTCTAGGTCTTGCACGGGTGCCGGGCTCCCGCCGCGCTCTGCGCTCTCATCAGCGCTGTCAAACTTCGAAGGAAGTAACAGGCTCTTGATGCTGAATGAAGTCGACTTCTGCACCATGGTCGGCTCACTCTGGTCTCCCATGCCGGGTGATAAATGCGCGTAAAAGCCCCGTTTTGTACGTTAAAAGACGAGCGGTCAGGCGCGCGAGAACGGGGACACTGCATGCATGACAGGACTCCGCGTACTCGCGGACTCGAGAAATTGGTGATTAACCAGCGCTCGGTCTTACCAACTACCTCATCGCAGGGAGGGAGGAGGAGCTCTACACTTGCTGGAGCTGGACGGTGGAGCCCCGATTACTCCATCACAATGCGCGGAGAGCCCCGTGCGCGCCGGAGTCTCGAGCGTCTCCTGCGCGTCACCAATCGCGTCGTCTGAATAGAGGAGGGACGACTAATTAACTGCACACATTAACTGAAACGCACTGAAATAAAGTTTGATTTACGCACAGTTCATCTATTAGTCATTAGAGTGTGAGAGATCAGCAGAACATGTCTTAATAACACGTGCACGTCAGTGTTTCATCTGTGTTGTTTCTCCCTAAAGCACACACAACGCACAGTCTAATCCAAATACAGGATCGTGTGTTGTTTAATGCGAGCTTATTGATTATTTAGCTTTCCAAGAACGCGTGTGTGTGTGTGTATATGTGTCTGTGTGTGTGTATATATGTGTGTGTTTGTGTGTGTGCGCGCGTCAAAGCGCGTAGTGTAAGCCAATGGCGCCTCTAGTGTCAGCACGGTCACTGAGCTCTGTATACACTCTCTGGTCCTCATTTGTGCTATTTTTTTATAGGTAAATATGCAAACCTTTCCCACATTCTGTCATCTGCATGAGGAAAGATGGACAGTGTAAACCGTTTGCACTTTAATTTACATGATTTTCATGGATCTGTTCATGTTATAATATGACCAGTTTGGTTCAGGGTAGTTTGTTTACATCTACATCTACATCTGGTTTTCTATTTTTAGGTTTCAGATAGTCTGCATGCTCAAATAAACGCTATTTCCTGCTCACCCGTGTAGCTAAAGCGCATCTTTGGTATTGGATATGGAGATTAAATGGGCTATCTATCTTTGAAATCGCAGATAAGATTGAAGTAGTGCGTATAGATTATGTTCATTATATTTTATCATATGCAAAGCAAATTCATCATTCTAAAACAAGGGTTTTCCAGTCACGTGTTTGTTTGCAGGCTGAGATTAAATGTATATCTCCGGAAGATAAGATCGTTTACAATCTGCGTGTTTAAAAAAAGAAGAACAGAGAAAAAAAAACATGTGTTTAATAATTTATTGTGTTCAGGCAACATCTGCTGCTATATTTGCCAAATTTAAAGAGCATGAGTAATATGGTATGTATTTTAATGATGCACCGCAGCACTTTCTTTTATTTTAAAGAAAAGACAATGCACACGAACAGTATCATAAGTTTTAAAACACCACTGAAATCGGCACAACAGGCATTTTTTAACAATAGTTCTTCTTATAATCAGCTCATATTTGTAGTATGCATACTATCTAAATAATTAAAATTATTAATGATAATGAGTTATTGCCTCAGACTGAAAAAAAGATTTAAAGATGAACCCTTGGATTTACTACGTTTATTATGTTGTAAATAGATAATTTGATCTGAATTTAAACAAACAATATAAGTTGAACATTACTGAATTTAATATGTTTGCTTAAATTCAACACAAATTGTTTGCAACAATTTTGCACCTTTTTTCAGTGATTGCCGTGCCGTTGCAATTTGGGCTATACGCTCAATTATATTTAAATATATATAATTGCCACATTTATTGAATTTGAAACGGTACAACTTTGTGTTATTTAAAGAGTACTTACTATCCAGAGCTTGTACCTTTTTATTTAAATAATTAGGATTAAAAAATAAAGCTTTAACGAGATATAAAGGACTGCGGCCGTGCGAGTTTGAAATCAGATTATTATTGTTATTTTTTATTATCATTATTATTAGTATATTACTATTATTATTATTATTATTATTATTATTATTATTATTTATTATCATTGTTATTTTTGTTATTATTATTATTATTATCATCATCATTATTGTTGTTATTATTATTATTATTACTATTATTATTATTATCATTATTATTATTACTTTTTATTATTATTATTATTATTTTATTATTGTTATTATTATTTTATTATTATTATTATTATTTTATTACTTAAAAATTATATTGATTCATTTGAATGCTACTGTTTGTGAAAGATTCATGTACAACATAATAATATAGGCTATTATTTGTCAGAGCTTTTGCAAACTGCAGAAACGGAATAGTCGGCAGTTTACCTTGATTTAAACTTGCAATGAGTTATATTTTAATATTATATTACATAATATACTACAATATTATATTAATATGATAGAAATACAAGGAAAATGCCAGCAAATAGACCAATATGTAGAACTATTCTTCTATTTTAGATTAATACAAATAGTAAACACTCGATTTGTGATTTTGTGGTATCTATATTGAAAATATTACTATCTAAATGATATTTTCTTTCTGTCTACCATTGCAAAAATGACAATAAACAAATGCAAATATTAAAGTATATGTTAAATAAATTATTCATCATCATTTGAGGTCAAAAACAAGTAGGTCAGTCGTGCCAAAATGAGTAATTTGCAATGACCGTTAATCGTTTCATACAAGAGTTCATATGACCCGCACTGTTTCCATACATGAGCACACACACACACACAAACACACACATGTACATGCAGACGCTGGTGTGTCGCCTGCCTCCAGGCTTCATTTGAAACTGTTTGCCAAAGCATTTAATGGCAAGCGTACAGCACACACACACACACACACACACACACACACGATAATGATGCGCGAGGTTCAAGTGTAGGTCAGGCTTTACTTCCAGCTCTGTCTTCAGGGTGAAGGGCCTCTACGGGCCTGTCCTGGATCTGAGCTGTTTTTACTGTGTTCACCAGCGTCCACCAACAGCAGCTTCATGATAATGACTGTACAAAACACACTGACGACTCTGACCTCACACTGACCTCGTGTGTGTGTGTGTCTGTGTTTGCGCTTTTGCTCATGTGCTCCTTTAGCTTCAGAACACCCGACACTGAACCGATGCACTGCGAAATGCACACTCTATTAATAACGCTGGGTGATCGTAACCCAACATTGGGTCAAAATGTTTAAAGTGAAAACAAAACAATTGATTTGTCAATATTTGAGCATATGTGGCATTGCTTGAGTGCGCACGAGTTTTTTTCCCCGACATTGAATATTAAGGTGTGTATTAGAGTGGTTTCAAAAGTGGTTTCATTTAACACCCAAAGCGAAACTTCTGTATTGGCTTATATCTTGTAGATCACTGACACACTCAAAAAAATGCTGGGTTAATTTTTTGACCCATAGGGTTTAATAAATAGGCTCCGAATTTTACAGTATTATATTAGTGGATCCGCTGTGGGCGACGCAGTGAGTAGTGCTGTCGCCTCAGTTCGAGCCTCGGCTGGGTCAGTTGGCGTTTCTGTGTGGAGTCTGCATGTTCTCCCTGCGTGGGTTTCACCCACAGTTCAAAGACATGCAGTAGAGGTGAATTGGGTAGGCTAAATTGTCCGTAGTGTATGAGTTTGAATGAGTGAGTGTGTGGATGTTTCCCAGTGATGGGTTGGGGCTGGAAGGGCATCCGCTGCGTAAAAACGTGCTGGATAGGTTGGCGGTTCATTCCGCTGTGGTGATCTCGGATTAATAAAGGGATTAAGCTGACAAGAAAATGAAAGAATGGATCCGCTGCGTAAAATAAAACGTATACCAGAAATGTTTGCGGTTCATTCCTAAGCCAAAAGAAAATGAATGAATGAACTACTATTAGCATGATATCAAAATAAGCCAAGCGAGTCGAATCTTTTGTTCTAAAATTAAACTGACAACATTACAAAAGAACCTGGGATATTCATTCGATCATTCATTTACTTTTCGGATTAGTCCCTTTATTAATCTGGGGTCGCTACAGCGGAATGAACCGCCAACTTATCCAGCAAATTTTTACGCAGTGGATGCAAAACATCCATACACACTCATTCACACACACACACACACACACACATGTGCACACATACACCCACACACACACACACACACACACACACACAAAAGTGTCTTTGGACTGTACACCGGAGCACCCGGAGGAAATCCATGCCAACACGAGGAGAACACCAGATTTCATGTATAGTTATGTACATTCAATTTAACAGTGGACAACAAATATAAAATTTCTCATGAGCAATTTTGGAAGGAAAACAAATAATACAGTCAGACTGTACATATATAAATGTACTTATATACAGTTGAAACCAGAAGTTTACATACACTGCGTAAAAAGGCTCATAACCATTTTTAAAAAGTCAGATGTTTATGTGACTTAATTCTCTCTCTTTTAGGTAAGTCAGGATTATCACATTTGTTTCTGTTCTGCTTAATAGCAGAATAACGAGAGAGAGATTTTTTGAGAAATTGTTATTACTTTTCATGAAAGTCAAGTTTACAAACAATAAGATTATTCTGCCTCTGAAAAAACTTTCTTGTGTGACAACATGGGAAAATCAACAAGCCAGAATCAACAACAAAGCCAGATTACAATCTGCTAATTGACACTGGGAAAAAGACTCATGTTTGGAGACATGTCCTGTGCTCTGATGGAGCTAAGATTGAACTGTTTGGCCATAATGAGCAGTGTTACATTTGGAGGACAAAGGGGAAAGTGCACAAGCCTAGAAACACCATCCCAACTGTGCAGTATGGGGGCGGCAGCATTATGTTGTGGGGCTGTTTTGCTGCAGGAGGGACTGGTCCACTTCACAGCATAGATGACATCATGAAGAAAGAACATAATGTAGAAATACTAAAGCAGCATCTCAAGACATCAGCCAGCAAATTAAAACTTGGCCACAAATAAGTCTTCCAAACAGACCATGACCATAAGCACACTGCCAAATGAGTTCAAATGTGCTTTAAGGACAATAGAGTGAATGTTTTGGAGTGGCCATCACAAAGTTCTGATCTCAATCCTATAGAATATGTGTGGGCAGAGTTGAAAAAGCTTGTGCGAGCAAGACAAATCTGACTCAGTTACACCAATTTTGTCAGGAGGAATGGGCCAAAATCCTTGCAAACTATTGTGAGAAGCTTGTGGAAAAATAGCCAAAACATTTGAGCAAAGTTATACAGTTAAAAAAGCAAAGCTAAAAAATAGCGAATGAAGTATCAACTGGCTACATAAACAAAGCTTCATCATAAATGTTTCATTAGTTTGCAATCGTCTTTGTTGAATATTGTTGTGCAGATATTTTTTTAGAAGTACTTATTATCTCATAGTTGCTCCACAAACTAAACATAATAAAATAAACATAATATTTTCATATGGATGTCTTTAATATTTGGTTATCTAATGACTTCTGTGTGTAAAACGTTTATTTTTGCAGTTGTGTCTTATACAAGAGCTAAACATTGGCAAATCGGAGCGTCCTGGTGGAGTTTGACGCTCAGCACCCCTTCAAAACACACTCATATCAAATCTCTAGCACTTTATCAGCGGATTTGACAAAGCCTTTAAAATCACTGAGAGATTCAGCCAAAAACAATTAGAGAGAGAAAACAATGAAGCATCGGTAGTGCAGCAGAAACACTCGGAGTGATGATGATGTAGATGATGGTGTTCGTTTAGCATCTATTACTGATTTAATAAACACGGCTTGGTTATTTGCACCAAGATATGTGCAATAGGCCGTCTTTAGTGATCGAGAGTTTATTTACATTGTGAGTAAATCACATTGTCTGTAATGCTTTACATCATCGTATGACTTATTATGATTAGCTGTTTATATGAATATAGTTGTGTATGGCACGCACTGAATCTGTGTGTGTCTGAATGTGCGTGTGTGTGTGTGTGTGCCTGCATACGTGTGAGTGCATGCATGTATTTGTTTGGTGTGTGTGCATTTTTGTGTGTATGTGTGTGCATAAATGGTGCATGTGTGCGTGTCTGAGTGTGTGTATGAATTATTTATTTATATATTTATTTGTTTGTTTTATTTTTTAGTTATTTATTTGTTTTTTTATTTATTTTTGTATTTGTTTGTTTCTATGTATTATTTATTTAGTTAATTACCCATTTATTTGTTTGCTTTAGTATTTATTTGTTTGTTAGTTTTATTTATAATATTTATTTATTTTATTTATTCATTTGTTTGTTTTATTTATGTTTTTATTTATTTGTTTTATTTTTGTTTGATCTATTTATACATTTATTTGTTTGATTTATTTATTTTATTTATTTGTTTGTTTGTTTTTTGTTTGTTGTATTTATATATTTTTTGTTTGATCAATTTATTTGTTTGATTAATTTATTTCCGTATTTATTTATTTGTTTACTTTATATATTTATTCGTTTGATTTATTTATTTTATTTATCTGTTTGTTTTATTTATTTACTTATTTGTTTGTTGTATTTATATATTTATTTGTTTGATTTATTTATTTGTTTTATTTATTTGTTTGTTTGATTTATTTATTTATATATATATTTGTTTGTTTGTTCTATGTATTGTTTGATTTATATATATATATATATATATATATATATATATATATATATATATATGTATTTATATATTTATTTGATTAATTTATATATTTTTTGTTTGTTTGATTTATTTATTTATTTGTTTGTTTTATTTATTTGTTTGTTTTTGTTTCTTTGTTTGTTTGCTTGTCAGAAAAAAGCATAGTTTTGCTGAATAAGGTCATTCCACCTTAAATTTGTTCTCCTGACACACGATGTGTTTTGGTTCAGAAATAATCAAGCATTTGAATGTGAATTCTGCAAAAGTCATCGAGACTGTTCGATCACACTCTCCACGCCAGATAAATCCAGCCCCGGACAGCAAATCTTGTCAGGAAATGTCAGTTTCGTATTTGGACGACAAGTCAGCAGAGTTTCCAATACCCAAACCTGTTAACCATTTAACTGAATGAACAGTCTATTATCAATATAGGAGTTGACGATGGAAGGAAGTCAGAGAGTAGCAGAAGCAGAAGACAAAGTGATGATGATAAAGAGCAGGGTTTATTAAATAACAGTTTCATGTGTTTCAGTGCAAACTTCGTCTGGACAGCACAAACATAACATAAGGTTATTATAACATAAGTTATAACATGTTATAACATATTATAACATAACGTATAATAACATAAGGTTATTATACATCAAGCCACAAGACCTTGAATTAGAGACATACCCTCATATCTCATATCAGTGTAGTGGAACATTTGCATGAAACACCAACAAAATAAGACCAAACTATGGAAAAGCTCAAAAAGCAGAGCATGAAATAAGAATTATATAAAATAAAGAAATCAAATTGATCAATGATTAATATAATACATGATAAAAAATAAAGGAATTTAAAAATATGAATCAAATAAATGGATGACTAAATGAATAACTAAGATTTATAATTGATTATTGTCACCTCACAACTAAAAGGTCGCTGCGTCACTTTCAAACCTTGACTCAGTTGGTGTTTCTGTGTGGAGTTTGCATGTTCTCCCTGTGTTAGCGTGGGTTTCCTCTGGGTGCTCCGGTTTCCCCCACAATCCAAAGACTTGGGAAAAAATAATTGGGAAGGCTAAATTGCCCGTAGTGTATGAGTGTGTGTGTGTGTGTGTATGTTTCCCAGAGATGGGTTGCAGCTGGAAGGGCATCCGCTGCGTAAAAACTTGCTGGATAAGTTGGCGGTTCATTCCGCTGTAGCAACCCCGGATTATTAAAGGGACTAATCTGACAAGAAAATGAATGAATGAATAATTGATTATATAACCATAACTGAAATTATCAATGTAAAACAAATAATAGGAAAACAAAAACAAAACATATTAGAATATAGAATTGATTTCATTTAAAGTACACACAGGTTATAACAAATCCCAGATTCTACAAGACGGATCTTTGAGATTGTGATTTTTAACAAAAAAACTAATCCAGTCCTTCTCCGCGAGCTGTGAAAACACACTAAAACACTGGTGCTGTCTTAGGAGGTCGAAGGTCTCTGTCAAATCCAAATGTCATTTGTTTTGTTTTGAAAGGATTTCAACTATTGTAAAGCCTTTGTATGCAAATCGCATCTCTAACAAAACGCTTGTACATTCACAAATCTACATGTTTTCCACTTCTCGTTGTAATTCTCTAATCTCTGACTTGTTTTTCAATCATAAATATACTAGATTACAGGCTGGGGAATATTAAAATCTCATCAGCGCGCCTGTGTGTGTGTGTGTGTGTGTGTGTGTGTGTGTGTGTGTGTGTGTGTGTGTGTGTGTGTGTGTGTGTCAGAGGACAATTGTGTTACGTGTGTGTTTTGGTATATTTCTGAAGCTCATTAGTTGTGATTATTACTGTAATCTGGCTTGCTGTTTAAGAATTAATCCTTCTGGAAGGAGAACAAATAATGTGGTGTTGTTTTAAATGAGGGAAACATGGTGGCTCAGTGGTTAGCACTGTGGCTTTACAGCAAGAAGTTTGCTGGTTTAAGTCCCGACTAGACCAGTTGGCATTTCTGTGTGGAGTTTGCATGTTCTCCCCGTGTTGGCGTGGGTTTCCTCCGGGTGCTCCGGTGTCCCCCACAGTCCAAACACATGCGCTGTAGGGGAATTGCTTTACTAAATTGGCTGTAGTGAATGAGTGGGTGTGTGAATGTGACAGTGTATGGGTGTTTCCCAGTATTGGGTTGCAGCTGAAAGGGCATCCACTGTGTAAAACATATGCTGGAATAGTTGGTGGTTCATTCCGCTGTGGTGGCCCCTGATAAATGAGACTAAGCCGAAGGAAAATGAATGAATGAATGAATGAATTTAATAATCTACAACAGAACTTCCACTTGAACTTTGAGTTTTTTATTAATTTTATCTCCCTGGCATTAATGGCTTGTAATGTGTTGTTGTTCGGAGCATAATAATAATACATTTATCCCCATAAAATACAATAGTAATTAATATTATATAATAATTTAGTGTTTTCAACCATACTATAGTAAAGTGCATTAATCTTTGTGGTAAATCTATTAGTTGTAGCTGTAGGTTTCTACAACTATAAAGTATATTAAACTAAAACACACCAAAGATTACTGTAGTAAACATGTAATACAGTAATATTACATTTCATCAGTTTACTATAGGCTGCTACTACAATATGGTGGAGTATTCATTAACAAAGAGTTGAAAGCCATAATATATACACTGTATTTTATATTGTACAGCTGTGTTTCTCAACCACGTTCCCGAAGGACCGCCATGTCTGCACATTTCCAGGTCTCCTTAACCAAACACACCTGATTCAGATCATCAGCTCATTATCAGAGACTGAAAGACCTATAATGAGTGTCACAGATAAAGGAGACCTCCAAAACATGCAGTGTTGGTGGTCCTACAGGAACGTGGTTGAGAAACACTGTTGTACAGTATAATATAAACTATTAAAGTATTTTGTTTTACAAGGGTCAGTTCGTTTATGAAGATTGTAGTCTGAAATATAATATCAAAATATTTTCATAAATTAAATAAATATTTACATTTAATAATAGCACATTCCATACAAAAACTCACCTTTCCTTTAAAACCCAAGCGTCTGTGATTTGTCCATCATCATAATCGCTGAGAAAAGTAACAGGCGTCACGTGACGCAGCAGCTGCACGAGTTTCTAGTCTCTGCGTTTGAAGCGGCTCGTCGTCGATTATTTATGTTTCTCCGTGATTTAAGCGTCTGCTGGACGTCTCTTCTGGCTTTGACCCTCGTCATATTGTCTGCAATGTCTTCAGAAGCCGGTGACAAATATGTGTCTGTAGATTTCGAGGTGTTCGGGAATGTTCAGGGTGGGTGTCTCAGTGTGTTTTACAAACTTGGCGACCACGCCTCCAAAAATAGACACGCTTTTATTAATGCAGCAGCACCGAAGACTATTTATATGAGAAAGACAAATCTTTTTCATAATGTGTTTGCTGTATGCATAAATTAATTATATTTGTAGCTCAAGTAACTTATATCCTATTTTTCTTCTTCAGGTGTTTGCTTCAGAATGGTGAGGACATGATAACTAATGCACATTAAGCTTGTCTTATGAAATATTTGCTTCTCTGACTCATTAATGAATGTAGATCCTATTCTACTAACAAAAATATAGTATTTTAACATAGTAGTACCATGGTAATATTTCTAAGCTATTTGCAAGTACATACTTTTTTTTTATTTGCAAATAAAAAACTAAAGTAGGTGATCTTAAATGTAGCCTAAATAGCTGATATCATTTATATATAAATGTGTGCATGCCTATCTGTGTCTATGCATATGTGTGTTACACAGTATATTGTTATACACTCAGTCACCGGCCACTTTATTAGGTACTAGTATCGGGTTTGACCCCCTTTTGCCTTCAGATTTGCCTTAATCCTTCATGGCGTAGATTCAATAAGCAACTGTAAATGCACAGTGTATATATATATATATATATATATATATATATATATATATATATATATATATATATATATATCAGAGATTTCAATAATATCTGCAGCCTTTATGATGCAAGCTGAGACTGCATCACTCAGCGATGCAATCTCAGACACAATGCACTCAAATGGAGCGAGTGGTGTCACTGTGACGGGTAGGGTTAGGGGTGGGGTTAGGTGAGCCCATTAAAAAGCATTGGATGCAGCCCAGATTGCACTGCACCAGGTCTGCAGCCAGACCCATCTCAGAGTTTTTGCTCCCTAGTGACATGATAGCATCACGCAGTTGCTGCAGATTTGTCGGCTGCACATCCATGATGCCAATCTCCCGTTCCACCACATCCCAAAGGCGCTCTATTGGATTGAGATCTGGTGACTGTGGAGGCCATTTGAGTACAGTGAACTCATTGTCGTGTTCAAGACACCAGTCTGAGATGATTCACGCTTTATGACATGCTGCGTTATCCTGCTGGAAGTA